AAAGTATCATAGTTTCCACAAAAATATTAAGCAGCACAACTGTTTTCAATACTGATGATAAGAAGAAATGTTTCATGAGCACCAACTCAGCATATTAGAATGATTTCTAAAGGATCATGTGCCACTGAAGACTGGAGTACTGATGCTGAAAATTCAGCTTTGCATTGTATTTAAAATGTATTTAAATCAAACATTTTAAATTGTAATAACATTTTACAATATTCCTGTTTTGATTGACTGATTGTTTATTTTTTGATCAAATAAATGAAGCAATAAATCAAAAACATAATAAATCGTACCAGCCGTTCAAGCTTTTGAATTGTAGTGTATATAATGTGAAATTTGTATTTATAGCGGAGAAGTTTCTCACATAACTAAGGTCTTATGATTTTAGATGGCCGAGGACAGTCTGCAAACTCTTGAAGTTCCAACCTCTGACCCTTCAGCCCCATCCAGAGTATTCCTGGAAGCCAAAGAGTGTCCCATGATGCCTCACTCCATGTATTGCCTATCTCTCTGTCCCGGAATAACACTCGTGCTGCTCACAAAGGTGACAGTCTTTCTGAATGTTATGCATTCTCTATGTCAACATTATTAGTCCTCTAAAGCAAAGAACATGTGCACTGCATCTTCTTCTATTTATATCATATTATTTTGAAGACAAATGTCTTTGCTTCCATTGAAGTACAAGATGCTCTTTGGATCATTCTCAAATCATTCTGAATAACATGATTATGTAGGGTTTATATAAATGTGCTGAGATGCAAGTACATTTTTCCATTTTAATTATACATGCATATCAACAGATTCCCAACAGTCATGTGGCAGTGTCTGCTTACTGCTTTCTGGAAACCTTTGTGAAGCTGGAGAAGAGGTTATGTGAGGGGCATGAAGGGGCCGCGGCCATGCGGGGTCAGCCCTCTATCCAGGAGCAGCGGAGCAAACTGGAGAAGTTCATCAAAGCCTGGGCCAGCATGGACATTCAGGTCAGTAGACAACAGAGCACACACTTCATCAAATCCATAGTGTCACACTATACAGTGTGCTAGAATTAGGGATGGAATTTAAATGAGAGATTCAAAATTTAACAGTTTGGCTTCATATTTCAAGTCTGAATGATTCCATTAACAATTAATTTAGTACTTTTGAGAAAGCACTTTAGGATCAATAATTGATCCTAACAGTATTTTGATTAAAGAAAAGTACTGAACAAAAATGTATTTAAAAACTTTTTTTTTTTTGAAAAATTTTTTTTTAAATTTTTTTTTTATAATTAAAGCATGTATTAAAATGAAAACATATTATTTTGCTATGCTTCAAATAGTTTTTTCTCCATCATTAATTTAAAAAAAAAATCAAACAAACCGTTCTTAATTAAAAATGAAAGTCATGGAAATTCCTATACTAAATATACAGTGGGTACGGAAAGTATTCAGACCCCCTTAAATTTTTCACTCTTTGTTATATTGCAGCCATTTGCTAAAATCATTTAAGTTAATTTTTTTTCCTCATTAATGTACACACAGCACCTCATATTGACAGAAAAACACAGAATTGTTGACATTTTTGCAGATATATTAAAAAAGAAAAACTGAAATATAACATGGTCCTAAGTATTCAGACCCTTCGCTCAGTATTTAGTAGAAGCACCCATTTGATCTAATACAGCCATGAGTCTTATTGGGAAAGATGCAACAAGTTTTTCACACATGGATTTGGGGATCCTCTGCCATTCCTCCTTGCAGATCCTCTCCAGTTCTGTCAGGTTGGATGGTAAACGTTGGTGGACAGCCATTTTTAGGTCTCTCCAGAGATGCTCAATTGGGTTTAAGTCAGGGCTCTGGCTGGGCCATTCAAGAACAGTCACAGAGTTGTTGTGAAGCCACTCCTTCGTTATTTCAGCTGTGTGCTTAGGGTCATTGTCTTATTGGAAGGTAAACCTTCGGCCCAGTCTGAGGTCCTGAGCACTCTGGAGAAGGTTTTCGTCCAGGATATCCCTGTACTTGGCCGCATTCATCTTTCCCTCGAAGCCCAGGTAAGACGCTTCTGACGTTGTCTCTGGTTCAGGAGTGGTTTGACACAAAGAATGCGACATTTGTTATTGACCTTTTTCATGATATTCTAATTTTTTTAGATGTACCTGTATATATTTTCTAGTTACACTACTGTTCAAAATTTTGAGGTTGGTAAGATTTTTTAAAGTCCCTTATTCCCATCAAGGCTGCATCTATTCGATCAAAAACACAGTGGGATCAATAATATTGTAAAATATTGTTATAATTTAAAATAACTTTTTTCTATTTGAATATATTTTAAAATCAAGCACAAATGTCAGGGCATGTCAAAACTTTTCCAGGCCCCAAAACACCCTCGACCCCAGAGATTGACCCCAGAGATGACCCCAAACATTTCTTATTATTATCATGTTGAAAAGAGTTGTGCTGCTTAATATTTTTTCGTGAAAACTGTGATGCGTTTTTTTTTTCTGGATTCGTTGATAAATAGAAAGTTCAAAAGAACAGCACTTATTTGAGACTGAAATCTTTTGTAACATTGTATTGATTTATGCTGTTCTTTTGTGTAAATGTGTTTGCTGTCACTTTCGATCAATTTGTTGCATTCTTGATGAATAAAAGTATTAATAATTAATACTTAAAAAGAACAAACTGATCTCAAACTTTTGAATGGTAGTGTGTTCTGTGTGTGTGGACTGGAGACATTTGCAGACTAAATTGTATATTTAAATCTATAAATTCCAAGAGTTTTGTACCTGACATTCAAAAATAAAGGCAAATTTCCCCCAGCATCCTCCATAAATCAAGAACAACTGGAGAAGTCTTTGGAGAAGAAATTGTGGGAACCCTGTTGCTATAATGGCATCTTGACTCTTCATTTATGTGTTCAGACCTCCCAACTTCAAAATGTGTGGACAGACTTTAAGAACAAGGCATTCAGCAGATCAGGATCTGGATTCACAAGGGAGTGAGTGCTATTCTCAAAACTGGCATTGCTATAGGGAATGTTGCTAAATTCAAATATAAAACTCACGGTTTATTTGTTGTGTTGCAGTTTGCTGCCCTCTTGTCGAAACATGAAGACTCAGATGTGTGGCGTGTACAGGCAGTTTTTTGCAACCGAGTGCATGGGCAGCAGTCAGCGATTGGCTCCTCATCTGCAAGAGCGAGCTCTGAACATGGTCCAGTATGTGTGAACAGACACCTCTATAGTACTGATGAATCTTAATTTTGATGTGCCTTAATGTGAAATCACTGTTTTCTTCCATTTGTTGCAGAGAGAAGTTGATGCACTGGAAGGATTTTCTGCTGGTGAAAAGCAAAAGGAATATCACAATGGTGTCATATCCTCTTTTTTTTTTATTACATTTAGTATTTTGGTTACCTGTCCACCCTTTATTCTATTTAGATGTGTTGCATTCACACTTCATGAATCATTCTTCTGTTGTCATGTGACATTGTGATAGACTTTAACCATGATCTCACATACCTGGAAGAGTTTCCTGGTCTTATCCACTTTATCTATGTGGATCGTTCAGATGGTCGGATGATTGCACCCTCCCTAAATGTGACTGATCACGCTGTCTCCGAGCTCGGAAAGGGGCCTCTAGCTGACTTCATAAAGAGCAAGGTGGTTTTGTGCTTATAGCATGTCATGCACTATATATTGGAAAGAAATCGGCATATTAGAATGATTTCTGAAGGATCATGTGGCACTGAAGACTGGAGTAATGGCTAAATCTTAAAATGGGAAATAATATTTAATTATTTCACAATCAATATCATTAGTTACTGATCATAATATGCCAGTCTCATCATTAATCTGCGCAGGTTTGGAGTCTTGTGGCAACAGCACAGCAGTACCTGCAAAAGGGTTACACCACCGTCACGCTCCGGGATGGAGATTATTTCTACTGTTACTTCCTATGGTTTGAAAATGAAACGGTAAATCGCAGCTTGTGTCTTCTTTACAATTACTATAATACATGTAATGACAGTTACATGGCCAATATTGATCGGGTTTAAATGTTTTGACAGGGTTACAAACTGGAAGTCATAGACATACCCAGCTCCCCAGACAATGGCGCTCCAGTAGGAATGCTCACCTGTGATTATTACAGGTATAGAAACAAGGAATTCACATAGAAACGATTTTCACTTAGAAGTTACTAGTAAATTTGACAAATAATTACAAAGCAATGGCAAGTAGCACATTGAGTTAAATTAAATGTTAAATTTTGAAGTAGAAAGATTGAAATTTAAAACACACTCATATAATCTTTATAACTTCGGAAAAACATTTTTTTTTACAGTGCAGGTGATAGGAACCCTAACTTTTATTGTAGACATAGCACATGACACCAGCTGAACTTTCTTTAATTCATGTATTAATTCATGTATTTTATATCTGCTCTGTCTACTTTGATGGTGTGATAGGAAACTGCTGCGGTATTACAGCAAAAAACATCAGAACGAAGTGTTGAAGTGTTATGAACTGTTTACTGTGCATCTGGGTGTGATCCCCAGTGAATATATTCTTCAGCACTGCAGTCAGCTGGCCCGTAAGCTGTGGGAGCCCTCCCGTATCCCGCTTCTGTGACCAGCACGGTCCTCAGAGGATTATGGTCCATGCAGCCGTGTTCACTTTATTCTGTAGCTGCATGATCTGTAATCTATATGGAGAGTTTTCTGAACTTTCTGCACAAGCACTTCTTATTTCAGTTAAGGTGATTGCAGAAAATATTGTGTCGGGGAAACCAAACATTGCACTTCTTGTACTTACCATGAACTGAGTGTGCAAGTGAACTTTTCTTAAGGTGCTTATAATGGAAAATTATGTCTGATATTAATGGATTATTTTTTTAAAACCAGGACCAAATATTATAGGACTTCACTCCTTTTTTTAAGATGTTATTACCAAATTTTATCAGGTATCTGGCTCAGCAATGTTAGTTGCATAAGTAGCAGATTAACAGTAAACTTAAAAAAAAAAAGAGGACAGTCTTTTATAATTATTGTTTTTAGCATGATAAATTTAGTAAAAAAAAACAAACAATCTAAGTCTTAAAGCTTGTATTTTAGTTTCTTTGGAGCCACCTACAGTTAAGTGAGTGGAATGTACTGTCGTAAATATATCACTGTCATAATTACAGTGGATAGATGTGCACTTTGAATTTTTGGTGCCATAAAACATTCCTGCCTTTTCACGGGATTTCGTGCCCACTCTCCAAACTCAACAAGCACAGGAGTGGGGGAATAATACAAAAAAGGCATTTGCCTCTATTAGAAGTCAGTGTACCATCAGCATGATTTTGAAACTGATATTTCAAGGTAAAAATAAATAAATAAATAAAAATTACACACACTTGTTTTAAAGGAGAAAGTTGTGATTTATTTATGCAGCAGTCAAAAATATAAATTTCATGGCAATAGCAGACATTTCCATCCAGAATGTCAGTTCTTTTGTTTTTAGCTGTAGTAACTGATCATGAATGTTGTTACAAAAATAGTCATTATATATTTAAATTTTAGTTCAGAGATTAACTTAAAGGCAAAGTATATTGATAATGAAAGTGCATTTGTTATTTACGCTCTGCTTTATGTTTTAAAAAATAAGATATTTCACAGGATTGATTATCACTAACAGGAATATGTAATTTATATTTTGCTGTAATATTGCGTGGCTATATACATAATGTTCTGATAAAAATGTAATCAATTTCCCAAGAAAAATAAATATTAAATAATAATTTATTCGAATAAATTATTTTGTCATCTTATATTTAAATGATGTGTATTATAGAAGCTTTGGTTTTAATTTTAGTAGTAATTTTCTCTTGTTTTAGATGCCTTTGGATATTACTGTATGTTATTGCGATTTTGCTTAATGTGAAATCTCTGTTTTCTTCCATTTGTTGCAGAGAGAAGTTGATGCACTGGAAGGATTTTCTGCTGGTGAAAAGCAAAAGGAATATCACAATGGTGTCATATCCTCTTTTTTTTTTTTATTACATTTAGTATTTTGGTTACCTGTCCTCCCTTTATTCTATTTAGATGTGTTGCATTCACACTTCATGAATCATTCTTCTGTTGTCATGTGACATTGTGATAGACTTTAACCATGATCTCACATACCTGGAAGAGTTTCCTGGTCTTATCCACTTTATCTATGTGGATCGTTCAGATGGTCGGATGATTGCACCCTCCCTAAATGTGACTGATCACGCTGTCTCCGAGCTCGGAAAGGGGCCTCTAGCTGACTTCATAAAGAGCAAGGTGTTTTTGTGCTTATAGCATGTCATGCACTATATATTGGAAAGAAATCGGCATATTAGAATGATTTCTGAAGGATCATGTGGCACTGAAGACTGGAGTAATGGCTAAATCTTAAAATGGGAAAAAATATTTAATTATTTCACAATCAATATCATTAGTTACTGATCATAATATGCCAGTCTCATCATTAATCTGCGCAGGTTTGGAGTCTTGTGGCAACAGCACAGCAGTACCTGCAAAAGGGTTACACCACCGTCACGCTCCGGGATGGAGATTATTTCTACTGTTACTTCCTATGGTTTGAAAATGAAACGGTAAATCGCAGCTTGTGTCTTCTTTACAATTACTATAATACATGTAATGACAGTTACATGGCCAATATTGATCGGGTTTAAATGTTTTGACAGGGTTACAAACTGGAAGTCATAGACATACCCAGCTCCCCAGACAATGGCGCTCCAGTAGGAATGCTCACCTGTGATTATTACAGGTATAGAAACAAGGAATTCACATAGAAACGATTTTCACTTAGAAGTTACTAGTAAATTTGACAAATAATTACAAAGCAATGGCAAGTAGCACATTGAGTTAAATTAAATGTTACATTTTGAAGTAGAAAGATTGAAATTTAAAACACACTCATATAATCTTTATAACTTCGGAAAAACATTTTTTTTTACAGTGCAGGTGATAGGAACCCTAACTTTTATTGTAGACATAGCACATGACACCAGCTGAACTTTCTTTAATTCATGTATTAATTCATGTATTTTATATCTGCTCTGTCTACTTTGATGGTGTGATAGGAAACTGCTGCGGTATTACAGCAAAAAACATCAGAACGAAGTGTTGAAGTGTTATGAACTGTTTACTGTGCATCTGGGTGTGATCCCCAGTGAATATATTCTTCAGCACTGCAGTCAGCTGGCCCGTAAGCTGTGGGAGCCCTCCCGTATCCCGCTTCTGTGACCAGCACGGTCCTCAGAGGATTATGGTCCATGCAGCCGTGTTCACTTTATTCTGTAGCTGCATGATCTGTAATCTATATGGAGAGTTTTCTGAACTTTCTGCACAAGCACTTCTTATTTCAGTTAAGGTGATTGCAGAAAATATTGTGTCGGGGAAACCAAACATTGCACTTCTCGTACTTACCATGAACTGAGTGTGCAAGTGAACTTTTCTTAAGGTGCTTATAATGGAAAATTATGTCTGATATTAATGGATTATTTTTTTAAAACCAGGACCAAATATTATAGGACTTCACTCCTTTTTTTAAGATGTTATTACCAAATTTTATCAGGTATCTGGCTCAGCAATGTTAGTTGCATAAGTAGCAGATTAACAGTAAACTTAAAAAAAAAAAAGAGGACAGTCTTTTATAATTATTGTTTTTAGCATGATAAATTTAGTAAAAAAAAAAAAACAATCTAAGTCTTAAAGGGGTCATATGATGCTGCTAAAAAGAACATTATAAGGTGATTGCAGAAAATATTGTGTCGGGGAAACCAAACATTGCACTTCTCGTACTTACCATGAACTGAGTGTGCAAGTGAACTTTTCTTAAGGTGCTTATAATGGAAAATTATGTCTGATATTAATGGATTATTTTTTTAAAACCAGGACCAAATATTATAGGACTTCACTCCTTTTTTTAAGATGTTATTACCAAATTTTATCAGGTATCTGGCTCAGCAATGTTAGTTGCATAAGTAGCAGATTAACAGTAAACTTAAAAAAAAAAAGAGGACAGTCTTTTATAATTATTGTTTTTAGCATGATAAATTTAGTAAAAAAAAACAAACAATCTAAGTCTTAAAGCTTGTATTTTAGTTTCTTTGGAGCCACCTACAGTTAAGTGAGTGGAATGTACTGTCGTAAATATATCACTGTCATAATTACAGTGGATAGATGTGCACTTTGAATTTTTGGTGCCATAAAACATTCCTGCCTTTTCACGGGATTTCGTGCCCACTCTCCAAACTCAACAAGCACAGGAGTGGGGGAATAATACAAAAAAGGCATTTGCCTCTATTAGAAGTCAGTGTACCATCAGCATGATTTTGAAACTGATATTTCAAGGTAAAAATAAATAAATAAATAAAAATTACACACACTTGTTTTAAAGGAGAAAGTTGTGATTTATTTATGCAGCAGTCAAAAATATAAATTTCATGGCAATAGCAGACATTTCCATCCAGAATGTCAGTTCTTTTGTTTTTAGCTGTAGTAACTGATCATGAATGTTGTTACAAAAATAGTCATTATATATTTAAATTTTAGTTCAGAGATTAACTTAAAGGCAAAGTATATTGATAATGAAAGTGCATTTGTTATTTACGCTCTGCTTTATGTTTTAAAAAATAAGATATTTCACAGGATTGATTATCACTAACAGGAATATGTAATTTATATTTTGCTGTAATATTGCGTGGCTATATACATAATGTTCTGATAAAAATGTAATCAATTTCCCAAGAAAAATAAATATTAAATAATAATTTATTCGAATAAATTATTTTGTCATCTTATATTTAAATGATGTGTATTATAGAAGCTTTGGTTTTAATTTTAGTAGTAATTTTCTCTTGTTTTAGATGCCTTTGGATATTACTGTATGTTATTGGGTGATGCCTATGTTGTATTTTACCCCAAAATTACACATTTTAGCACATCTTAACCCCAAATTTTAAGATTTTACATGGAAATTATTAATTAAATGGTTCAAGTGCGGTTCTCTTAGAAGTCGGGGTGTGTACGGAGTGGGTTGTGGCCGACAACAGCCCAAATAAACACCCCTTGTACATCAAAACGCCTCGTCCTTTTCTGAGAACGCTACAATATACATTTTGTGACTGACGCCGCCAGCGTCTAACTGTTTCCTAATCTGTAGGCCTATTATTTTAAATAATGAATTAACAAATAAAAAATTCACAAACATGACATTTCTGAATAAAATAATTTTATACACTTTAGTTTATCTAATTTAGCATTTTAAATTAATGTAGGCTGTTACATGCTTCCTATTATTAGGCCTATTATTATTATTAAGTTATTTTTATTATTAAATTAATATTATAATTAATTTGCCCCACAATAATTTCATAGCGCATCACTGCATAGCTAACTGACACGCTGCGATTGAAAATGTTTTTTAAAAAAGATCTTTCAAAACGGGTTTATTATACAATGAATTATAGGCCTATAATTAAAATTATTAACACTGCAATCATCGATGAAAATGCTTTATTTCAAGCACCGACTTTTTGAAAAAGAAGAAAAAAAAACCTGTTTAACACTAAATATGTTTCTTCTCCCTTTATTTATTTATTCCCCCCCCTCCCCCTGCCACAACTAGCCTACACTCTTAAAAATAAAGGTGCTTCACGATGCCATAGAAGACCAATATTCTTGGTTAAAAATGATGTAGGAAAAGTAATAGATTAATTTATGACAAGAGTGCACCTAGAAAAAATAGACATCATAACAGGAGTTCTGACCTTTGTCAAAAAAAAGTCTTCTTCGTTGCCTTTTTCTCTATCACACTTTAGAAATCATCAGAAATTATATATCAATTGAAAAATTAAAATTTCTAAATTCATCCTTTGAAAACCATTTTAAAATCAGACATTGCATTACCATGAAAATGGTAGTGAAAGTGAAGGGACATGTGACATGTGGCCAAGTATGGTGACCCATACTCGGAATTAGTGCTCTGCATTTATCCCATCCAAAGTGCACACACACAGCAGTGAACACACACACACCGCACACACACACCCGGAGCAGTGGGCTACATCAATATCATGTTACAAAATGTTTTCATTCATGAATTATAAAAATTTAAGTTTGGATCGTGCACTTTAAAGTTTATGTCCAAAAATGTGAGTGACAGTTAAGGGAGTAAATTAAAACATTTAGCTATATACCGTTATCAGCATATGAAGTAGGTTCGTCTCTCGTCGTCTCTGAGAGAATATGCGCCGTTAATGCAGCGTCAGATGCCGAAAGTGCCGTCAGTTTTTCCTTTCACTTTAGTGAATCGAGTCGACTGAGATTAAAGGGGTCATATGATGCTGCTAAAAAGAACATTATTTTGTGTATTTGGTGTAATGAAATGT